GTTATGTCATCACGTGATTTCCAGGTCCGTATATGGTAAGGAGGGTTGGCCTTTGTCTTTATGATTAACATGGCCGCTATGCATAAGAAGTACGAACGGTTGTCTCATTTGTAAATAAATGCGAACGGTTTATACTATTTGCACTAAATGCCTCAGAACTAACTATACACTGTAACAGGGATATTGTATATTTATTTAATAGCAATAAATTTGTTAATTATGATTTATTTAGAAATTACCAGTGATTGATGATACAATAGATTCTCTACAAAAATACAAACATCAACCCTCTAAATCGTTCGTAGTTTTCATGTATCAAAACAACCATCGATGAATCAAAAAAATATATTCGAATTTCAATTTTATCCCGATTTTATTGCATATTACCACGTATTAAACGTACGAGCATACACAATAGCATTTAATGCAGATATGTTCAATTGATTGAAAGCATATATATTCCACACCAGAAAGATGAATGATAAAAGGCCACAGCTTTGCTGCACATTATACATTACTATCTGAAATAGACTCCATTTCACTGGCTCATTTCGTCATTAGAACGGCAAAAATAAGAAATTGGGAGACCATTGTGCAATAATATATGGAAAAGTATATTCATAATGTACATGAATGACATTTGTATATTTCAGATTTTTTAGTTTTTTGTGCAATAAGCCTGTGCTGTCTTGTAATTTGAAGAATTTCAGCCATGTTAATCTTATTGAAAATAACATGACAGAGAAACATCCAAATATAAGAGGCCACACACTTTATAAGCCAAACTAGAAGCAATCCAAGATATACAAATGTCATTCATGTACATTATGAATATACTTTTCCATATATTATTGCACAATGGTCTCCCAATTTCTTATTTTTGCCGTTCTACTGATGAAATGGACCAGTGAAATGGACTCTATACAAAAGTTAGGATACATATAAATATTTTTACATAAACTGTTTCAATATGGTCATTTGATTGCTTATTTTTTAAATTCAAAGTAGTTACAAATATTTCTGTTTTGACTGTACCTGAATTTGTTTGATTTGGAACTTCATTTTTTAAATGCCGAACCACCGGCGAGTAAGTGAAAAATACAGAGAACCTCTGGCTAATTTTATATTGGAAGTACTTTAGTCTCACATTGTTTGTGATTGTTTTTATCGTACCTAACAAAAGGTACGATATTGTAGTCAGTTCACATTTGCAACTGCTCCGTCACAGCGGACAAAAAAATTAAACATTATTTTTTATAAAAGAATTAAAAAGACCAAATACATCAACATCTTATTTATACCTTCATAGTTATGCTGAAACCATGTGTAAATATTATCGTGTCACTATATCGTGCCATTAGAAAGTTAAACAAGAAATGGTACATTTTGAAGTATGATACTCCGGCGCCATTTTCAATAGCTTTTCTTCCCAGCGTAATGAAGTGAAAAAGTTATCCGCAAATGATATATCCATTGCATGGAGTAAGTAATTTTGTATGGTATAACGAAACATATGAGTTAAAAAATAAATCGTGAAGTATTCTTAGTGTTTTTATGAAAAATAGCACGCTCCGTCACAGCGGACAAATATTTCGATACTAGCCTGTGTATCTTAACTAACATTTATCGTTACAGTTTTTGTCGCTTACCAATGTGACCTCTCTATCATATTTTTTTGTAAAGTATAAATTGTTGTCATGCTTCGATATTGTCAAAAATTTTCATTTTCCCCTCTATGTTCTGTAGTTTTTCGGATATCGGATTCATTTTCTTGTCGAGTAGATCGTTGAAAAGTGTTTTAATGTCGTTTATGTTTATCGCTGATTGTTCTTGGAGTGCCTCAGCAAAATGTTCATCGTCATTGCTTTTTCATCTTGTTTCAAATTGACAAATCCTTTTTCAAAATCATCTACAAGTTCTCAGAAGTTCAAATCTGACTTAAGATTCGAGATTTCACCTTCAATGACCTTCTCAGGGTCAAAAAAAGTTTTATTTTCAACTTTCTTCAAATTGACCAATTTATTTTTTCAAAATCATCAACAAGTTCTCAGAAATTCAAATCTGACTTAAGATTGAACTCATAATAAGTGTGAACAACTAGGTGGTGACATTTTGTCATGTTATAATGCCTTGTTTTGTTTTGTCAGGATACTTATTCTGACTCACAGCAGGGAGTTAATTATGCATCAAAACTCATGTAAAAGTAAATAAGGACAGTAATAAAAACCATATTTCACATACACTTAACTGAGGGACCAAAAGGGCATATATCTGGACTCATCCTTTTATATGCTGATATGCTCCGCTCAAGAAGAATATGTTTTGTTCTGTGAGATTTGCTACTCCGTTGAGTTTCTGTTTTCCTAGTGTTATTTTGACAATGGGTTGTGTTCTATTGTTTTGTGGTATTGGTAATCCTCTCAGTTGTGCTTGGTTAAAAAGGTTGGTTGCGATAGGTTGAATATGTCCAGTGGGGATTCACCCAGATTGTATTGTGATGAATGATTAGGCTTTGATATAAGAATAAATAAAAAATAAAAATTATGGCATAATGTTGAAAATATAAGACTTGACCTAGATCTTGACCTTTAACTTATTAAATTGACCTAGTTTTAACCAACAATATCCAGATCAGCATACCTATTTCAATAGGCTCAACAAGATATTGTGGCTCTATTCATTCTGTGATATGAATGTGCATCACAAAAAAGTAATTTAAAGGGTTCCGATAAGCATCCCGTATAAAAACAATATGGCGGCTCCAGGCGAATCAACTGGATTAGTCCATTTTTAAGAAATAAGGGGAGTTCTGTAAAATCCAGTTTAGAGAAATTGTCTTTGAGATAAAGTAATCCGTTTATAATGATTTTGAAAACGTTATCCATAGAGTGATTGCGTTCAAAGAATACATGTACAACAGCCAATATAAATTATTGTATTAGAACTGCTTTGTTTCATTTGTAGGATATTTCATATGCCAAACTGTGTGCTATTACGTTATTGGGAAATTTAGATGCCAATTTTTCCTTATTATACACAAATAGAAGATCCTGAAACTTCACCCATAAATGTGGAATTGATTTGTCAAAATAAAAATCACCCTTTTATAAATATGTGACGATCTATAATATACTTATGCTATATAACAGTTAGAGGTGTTGACACAACGACATCGAACCTGTGAACCCTTGAGTATTATTCCGGGATCAGGCCTTTTATACTAAACGGTGAGCAACACCAGAAACGAGCGTTCGATTTGCTAAACGATATGCGTCACCCTTTAAAGGTTGTATATAACTATTAAAGTGATTTTCACTCCTTTTTAAAGCTTTAATACAGCATGTTGCTGTGTATATATAACACTGATTTTTACTTACGCATATGGAGTGGATATTCATCTTTCATTTCATATTAAGAAAACAGAAATTGATAAAATATTGACGGGGTGGGAGCTGTTACAATGACCCCTACTTTTAGCAATTTTCAGAATGTTTCATCCAGTGTATTAATTCAATTACAATAAAATTTCCATTTTCGGGCTTATTTCTTGAAAGCATAAGCTATTATTATTTGTATTAAAATGAGGAATCAATTGCAATATGATAGAACGCTTATTTACCCAAGTAAGAGTCAATTTTGTTTATAAATGTGAATTAATTTGGGGAATCCACTAACAGTTTGTGGGTTTCTCCAAACCTATTATTGTTAGCGAAATGACGTCACATTACATTGATTTTTTTACAAGAGCGGGCTACTAGTATTACATCATTAAAATGCGTTGGATGGTATGGAGACATTCATTGTGACATTTGTTTTGCGGAGTTCCTAACAATGGCCAAGTAGTTTATTTACAACATCTGTCTATTTCACATATTTTCCCTGTTTTTCACCCAGACTCCCAGGGGCCGGTGGGAGGGTCGGGAAAACAGAAATTTTGGTTAAATTTGAGGTCTTTCTGAAGTATAGCTTTATTACACTCAAATGAAAGGCAATTTAGAGTAGATTGCAAATATTGTATCATTTTTCTGATTCTGGCCTCGAAAAATTCAAAATGGCTGCCTAATGTGTGATTAAGCAATAATTTCCTGATCTATTCAAAGTATGGCTATATTATACTCAAATTGAAGGAAATTTAGAGTAGCTCATGCCTCAAATTCAGTGGCCGTCTATTTCACTTTACTTTTGTTTTAAACACAGAGCACAAGTTTCAGGTTTGAATTTTTTGACTGATTCTGTTAGTTCAACTTATTAGTGATCTAAATGAATGATAAAATTCAAACCAAATGCTTGTGCTCACCTTCATTTCATAGAAAATAAATCCCCACTGTACAGCACATTGGAAAAAGAAAAATTGGGCACCTTGCAGGTCTTTAAATCATGGTCCTTTAAATACCCATTGACACAGGTCAACAGTCATGAACAACTTGCACTCAATACTGCTTTATTCAATAGATCAAGAGTTGGAGGATTTACTCATTTTTTCATAAAAATTACTAAAAATAATTTGGCTTTATTTTTTCAGAAATATATGTGCATAGCTTGATTTAGTCTTTGATGCCAAATACTTTCATAATTTGACTGTTCAAATGGCAAAATTTGACAATCATAAGAAAGGGAACATTTTAAGGTACAATAATATAAACAATAAATGAATTTAATGGATTTTGAATTTTTAGAATTTTTCAACCCATTCCCTGCCTCATCGTTTCAGTTGATGGATTTGATTCAAATTTAATATGTTGATACCTTGGGACAAAGGAGCTTTGCTCAAGAAGAAATTTTCAAGATGGCTGTATCGAAACATGTTTCATTCAGTGGGATCCGCTACTCTGTGAAGTTTATGTTCCGCTACTCTGTGAAGTTTATGTTCGGAAAGTGTTTTGAGTGTATTTTGAATATATTTGAATTGAAATTTTGAAATGAATCTATAAAGTTACCATGTTTATATATGACCTTTATTATACATGCGTATATAAGATCGGCTTATTCTTTTGTTTCAGCCTGTTGGTGGATTTGACCCATTCAACACACTTGGCAGCATTTGGCAACCAGCTGCTCCCTCTGGTGGAGACAATTGGAAAATGCCAGATGATAAGGATGACAAATAGATGATACCACAACAAGGACTGATGTTCACTCTTTAAAACTCCATAAATCTACACTATTCAATAACATACAGATAACGAGACTTTTCCACATATCCTGTATAGGAAAATGTCTGGTCAGCAAGGAAATGAAGTTTAAAAGTCAAAGATGCTATTATATAGTATACACTATACAAACTACACATAACTGACCCAATCTTGACATATATAGCCTGAGGTATCAGTTGTGTCACCATTGAATTAACAATCTTCAATACAGTATATCAATCCTGAATTTTAAATTTAATACTTAACAATCCCAATAATATATCATTCAATACTGCAATCCTTCATATATCATTTAATAAGTATCCTTATTCCTTTATGTGTCAATTAATACACTTACAGTGTACATGTAGTACCAACAGAATTCTAAAAAGCAAGCCCAATAATGTCTTATTTAAGAACTCCTATTCTTACTATTGAAAATGGATTCTAGCAATACTATCCAACATGAATCTACTTGTTGAGACTCGATCGACTTGAGTTCTTCTGAGAAAATGAGGATTTCAGCAAGGGTGCATTGACTTAACATAACTTGACATTCACCATTGACCAATGACTTAGCATTGGGATACCATCATGTATGCCACCATGTTAAGTCAATGCACCCTTGCTGAAATCCTCATTTTCTCAGAATTGGTGAACTTATTTTGGATTTAAAATGCAAAAATACTGCTTTAATACTGCACACGGTGTATAACCCAAACGCTCCTACATGCACGACGGAGCGTTTCATTACTGAAATTAAACAAAGAAACGCTCCGGAGTAGGAAAACTGGCTGGCGGGAATGATGAGCCGTCTGACGATTTCCCCAATAATGGGAATAAGAGGTATGAGTTACATATTTCGAGTATACCATTCGATGGGTGTGATATTCATGTTGTACGTGGCTGGCTGTTGACGTTTGAAGCAATTAGGAAGAGCTATACGAAGCAGTATAGTTATCAAAATTCAAAAACGTATTTGTCATTCTACCGGTCTAAACCCCTTTTGTCGATACATGTGATTAATTGAGCCAAGATTAGAGCACCAACGTATATTTTAGTCAAATTCCAATGCTTCAACGCACCATACATTATCGTTATAGTGATTTGATGACCGAAAATCCAGTCTTAAAAATGATGACATTCTCATATTCAAGAAACGCTCCGATCTGATTAACACAGTGAACTGGAAACGCTCCGGTAGTCTAGATCAGTTTAGGAAATATATAGCTTGCCTTTCCTCTTCAGGAAGAGAAAGAAAAGATCTATTATACCCCTCGGCATCAATTGAAGAAAGATTAATTCACATATAAATTTTCGTTTTTTCTATAGTTTTATGATTTAGCACATATGTAGGCATGACATCATCTTATGTATAGGCTTGCACCACCAGGTTCAGATGTTTCAATTTGCCTAACAAGTACAACACGTTTTTAAGAAATAAATTCGATTCGGGACTCTTCTCTAATAATCTGAAAATGATATCAAAACAAAATGGTAAGAGCGTTTCTAAAATTGTGTTCTAAATCTACGGAGCGTTTCGAGGAAAACAAGCGATTTCTCGAGAACAAGTAATGGATTTGGACTGGGATTTTAGGAAATGAGAATGTACGAGTTTGTGATCTACTACTTTAACAGAAAGATTAACGTTTTCATAGAAATACTAGTTTAATTCGTAATTTGTGGTCAAAACGTCATCTTCAGATTCGTTCGATCTACACTACGGAGCTTTGATCAAGCAAATAACAGTTTACCACCAGAAGTTGAATAAATAAGATCTTTGCTCACGGTGTTGTTCATCGAATGGTACATAATATTTCACCATAACATATAATATGTAAGAGAAACGAGAGAAACAATACTTACGGTCATAGTGGAATCTTCATTAGCCGCCATTTTATTTAGCTCCGGAGCGTTTCCGCGTAAATGTAACGCTCCGTCGTGCATGTAGGAGCGTTTGGGTTATACACCGTGCTGCAATCCTTAATATATCATTTGATAATAGAATCCTTAATATGTCATTATCCCACCGAACGAAGTTCGAGGGGGATATAGAAAAGCCGTTCGTCCGTCCGTCCGTTCGTCCGTCCGTCCGTTCGTGTGTCCGGGCAATAACTCAAATACTGGTTGACGGATTTCAAATTTCAAATTTTATAGGCTGATGCCTTATGGGTGTAGGACCTCTGCTCGAGAAGGAATTTTCAATATGGCTGCTTAATTTAAAATGGCGGCCATTTTTCGGAAAAAATATAATCTTTAATAACTCAAATACTCGCAGATGGATTTGGTTCATATTTTATATGCTGTTGCCTGGGTAAAAAAAACGTTATCTTTGATAACTCAAATACCATTGAATGGATGTGATTCAAATTTTAGATGCTGATGCCTAGGAACATAGGAGCTCTGCTCGAGAAAGGATTTTCAAGATGGCAGCTAAATTTCAAAATGGCGGCCATTTTTCGTAAAAAAACCGTTATCTTTGATAACTCAAATACCATTGAATGGATTTGGTTTAAGTTTTAGATGCTGATGCCTAGGGACATAGGAGCTCTGCTCGAGAAAGGATTTTCAAGATGGCAGCTAAATTTCAAAATGGCGGCCATTTTCCGTAAAAAAACATTATCTTTGATAACTCAATTACCATTGAATGGATTTGGTTCAAATTTTAAATGATGATGCCTATGGACATAGGAGCTCTGCTGGAGAAGGGATTTTCAAGGCGGTAGCTAAATTTCAAAATGGCCGCCATTTTTCATAAAAGAACGTAACCTTTGATAACTCAAATACCAGTTGACGGATTTGGTTCAAATTCTATATGCTGATGCCTAGAGGCAAAGAAGTTCTGCTCAAAAATAAATTTTCAAGATGGCCACTAAAATTTCAAAATGGCTGCCATTTTTCTTAAAAAACGTTATTAATGATAACTCAAATACCAGTGGATGGATTTGGTTCTAATTTTATATGCTGATGTTTAGGGAAAAAGGAGATCTGCTTCAGAAGAAATTTCAAAGGCGTTAGCTGTATTTCAAAATGGCTGCCATTTTTCATTAAAAAGTAATCTTTGATAACCCAAATACCATTAGATGGACATTCTCTACTAAAGAAAAAATCTAAAGATGACAGCTGAATTTCAAATGGCAACCATGTTTCATAAAAACATAATCTTTGATAATTCAAATACCAGTGGATGAATTTGGCTCAAATTTTTTATCAAAACATGTTTTGTTCGGTGGGATTTGCTACTCTGTGGAGTTGCTGTTTTTCTAGTTTGATAATACAATCCTTAATATGTCATTTAATAATACAATCCTTAATATGTCATTTATTAATACAATCCTTAAGTCATTTTTATTATTTAATACTGCAATCCAAATAATGAAGTTACTGCAAATCTTAAAACTCTACATGCATATCATGTAATACAAGAATCCTTAATATATCATTTGATAATACACAATCCTTCATATCTCATTTAATAATTAAATTCTTAATATATCATTTAATAATACAATCCTTAATATATCATTTAATAATGATAAAATTCTTTGTATGTCATTTAATAATACAGTCCTTAATGTGTCATTTAATAACACAATCCTTACACATTAGAAAAATATGGTAGTTTTATTTTGATTTTCACACTATTTTGTAAAAAAATGTCATGAAAAATGCAGAATTTTTGCAGAACTTTAAATGCTAATATCCCTGTGAATTATCAAACAACTTTGAGTTGCGCACCTTATCAGTAGCCTATTTTAAATTTAAGGATAAGTGAGATGCTGTTTCAAGATCTGTTTGAATTTTTGATTTGATTCTTTCCCCAATATGAAGAATTTCAACATATTTTTCCATTTTCATACACCACACAGACATGGCATGGTGCTAGGTAGGGTAGGTGGGGCAGCAAATTGAACAAACCCAAAATTTGTCTCTTCAAAGTACAATAACGGCTATATACAGGGTGTTCAAAAAAAAACGCAACCCAAAGAAATCGCTATATCTTGGAAAATACTAGTCCAATTGTGTTCATTTTTTCAGGAAAGAAAGAAGAGACTGTGTATGTATAGCTCATGTTGTTAGTTAGTTGTAAAACATGATGCCTTGGACAAATGCTCAAAAGACATTAGTATTGGAAAGATACGAAAAACGCAGTCAGAGACTACTGCCGCAGCAATAAAACCAAATAACTTTCTAACCATAGTGTTTTGGCTATTCAAATTTGGCACAAATCATCTTCATTCAATGTATGATAAATCTGTAGAGTGAAATCAAAATCACTCCAGGGACTTTACAGTTTTGGTCGAAATGCTTTCAAAACCCAGTCAAACACCCTGGTTCAGCCAGACTTAAGAAGGCATTCTGACCATGACTGTAAAGTCCCTGGAGTGATTTTAATGAAACTCCCCCAATACACTACACATTATATGAAGATAATTTGTGGTGAATCTGAAGTGCCAAAACACCATGGTTAGAAAGTTATTAGGGTTTATTGCTCTGGCAGTCACCTCTGGTTGCGTTTTTCGTATCTTTCCAATACTAATGTCTTTTGAGAAGGTGTCCAAAACATCATGTTTTACAACTAACTAACAGCAGGAGCTATACACACATAGTCTCTTCTTTCTTTCCTGAAAAAATGAACACAATTGGATAAGTATTTTCCAAGATATAGCGATTTCTTTGGGTTGCGTTTTTTTTTGAACACCCTGTATTAAGTTCAAAGGAAAGGTATTTCAGAGTAAATTCCAGATATTGTATCATTTTTTACTTATATCTTGTAAAATCAAAAATGACCTCTAAAGACTTCATTTTCATTATTATTTAAGTGGATTGCAGGTATTTTTTTTTGGTAATTGTGAATGATATAGAACTACATTGATTTTAAATGTTTCAGAAATGCTGTTGTTTGTTAGGATTTGCTTTTCCCTGGAGTTGCTTTCTAGATATTTATGCTTATGGTAACCAAATCTTTAATGTACATGTATAAGCAATATAGTTTATATAAAGTATTCAGGTCATACTTTAAATTGTACATTTTTCATCATTTTTTCCCAACAAAATGGCTATAGAAAAATGCTCCAAAAACAACTCTTACACTTATCAAATATCATACAACTTTGTGAAACCAAAGATTATACTACTATTTTTCATTATTTAGTAACATATTTAGGTAAAATGTAGGGATACATAGGATGCAAATGGATTTGGGTAGAAACAAAATACTTCCTGGTTTGGAATCTATGCCTCTATACTTCATGATTAAATTATGACCCTAATATACATCAACACAGTGCTGGATATAGGTCAACAAGATACTAGTGTGTATATAAATGTAATTATAAAAGCAGTATATTCATTTTGAAAATCAGATGAATTTTTTTTTCAAAGGAAAATCATCATGGAGAGTGCATTTCTTCTTTTATAAAGTTATGCTTAGGGAGAACCCCTGCTGAAGAAAATTTCACGCTGAACATTGAATTCAAAATGGCCAATATTTTCCGGAATTCTTTTTAAT